TCCATTTTATGTTGTGTACAGCCGCCGTTATTCAGACGACGGAAGGCAATACACGTTTATAAGGTAGCTGTCTTCCACACTTTTTGGCACTTCAGTTTATCTCATATAAAGCTCAGTAAGCGAGCGACCATCAGTTAATGTGTCACTCGAGTGAACCGATTTCCTACATTAAATAATCACACATTTTGCAACTGGAAATAAACCTCTTCCACAATCATAACGTTTTTCTTGTCTTGCAGCGCCTGTGTGTTGTTGTAGAAAATCTCCACGGATCATGAATTCTTCTTTGTGCCCCAAACTCTGTTTTTCAACATTTGCTTATATCAAGAATAAATAGACAATGAATACAAGGGACAATTCGCGTTAAATCCACAAAGAATTGCATACTTAAAACATTTTTGCAACAAAAAACAAACAAACTAAAAAGCGAATTGCTGAAGTAGAATTCAATATATGTTTTGCTTTCGATGTGACTGAACATAGAAAATTTTATGCCAATATGTTCTCGTTGCACCCTGAAGGTGTTTATTTTGAGTGCTAATCGGGGAAATCATGCAAACATTTTTTGTTCACTAAAATAAGATATTTTGTCTTTTAAAATATGTTTACCGACACTGAAATTAGCGTCTACTTTTAAAAGGAAGACATTATAATTTGTGATGTTTTAATTTCGTGTTTCTACTTTACGACCAGTTTTGTTAAAATCCATTTTAAATATGTCGTGTGATTTATGTCATATTGTCAGAGATAGTTGTCAAACAGAGTTTGTTTTTACCTTTCAGATGTCCTTTATTTGTTAGGTGTTGGTTTATTGCATTTCTTCTACGAGTCCCATCATAAGGTAAACCAACTACTATTACTAACCCACACACACACATAATTACATAAATATATATCGGATTAAAAAATTCCTTTATATATATATATATATATATATATATATATGTTTAGAATTTTAAATTTTACAATTGTGCGTTCTTGTACAAATATGGTGATAAGCGAATTCTTTTTTACTGGTAAATTTTCTGTCAAAGTGGCATGAACTATATTGTTCAGTTCAATAATTACAGTAATGTTGCACTTATTATCCAAAAGTTGCACTTGGATCAGTTATTTTAATTTCAATAAAGGTGCAATTAATTGTAAAATTTAAAATCAAACTCAGCGTTGCTACTGCACGCTCCAAAAACAATAACTCATTTCTAATAGCATTTTTCGAATACAACAATACATATATTTTCGATGTCCTCTTATTACTAAGAGAAAAAAACAAGAACAACATCTATTATATACCTGAAGATGTCTGTAGGAACAGACGAAAGCTTGTAGTAAAATAAGAACTAATGCAACAGAAATTTATAAAAACAAGGATTTTTTCATTCATAACAGGTTCCGGGTTTTTGTATATTATTTGAATTGTTCGCAACGATGGATTTCTCGCCAATTAAATCATTAACCTTTGTATTTGTTTTTGTATTAATAATTCATGAATATATATATATATATATATATATATATATATATATATATATATATATATGATATTGACGCGATTTTGAAGATAAGGTCTCCAATGTTGATCTTCTCGCAAAATGCAACATTGGCGGAATTGAGACTTTTCTGATACAGTCTGAATTTCACTTTGGTCAAGGATGAGTGAGGAGAGAATACCTAAGGTCCCTCATGTATAGTCAACTTGACAGTGGACAAAGGTCTGTTGGACGGCCGTGGCTCATGCATAAATTCAAATTAACGAGTAACATCTCAGTTGTCAATGAGACTCATATTAACTTGTCCTGGGTAGAAATAATTAGAAGCATTTATGCCAGAGTAGTATCAGAAAATTTCGAAATTACCGTTGATTGGTTAAGTTGTTGCACAATATATTGACTTGTATTCAGGTCATTAGCGGGACTGAAGTGTCGTGTCACATACAACACAAACATAAAAACTGAATGTGGCTGTTGGATCCTCAAACGCCGAAATCGAGCCCATCATATATATATATATATATATATATATATATATATATATATAATATAAAGATCATTTACGATCATTTAACAAAACATATCTACCAGTATTTACTTAGTAGAAGATAGCACGTTCAAAATGAGCTGAAATTTGCAAAAATAGTGTTCAATATGAAAAAAAGATCGAGCAGCGATAATGATTTTGATGACAAAAAAGTTCTAATGACTTATGGTCTGATCGTTGGAAACATTTACTATTAAGAGTTTGTTTTTAGTATAACTGCCTTTTATAACAAGGACATTATAAAGTACATAATCGAAGTACAAATTGTAAAGTTAAAATTTAGTTAACATTACGAATTTTTGTATCTATGTATTTAAAATAAATTATATCTGTTAATTAATTGAATAGATTTATCTTACATTTCTGAGCCAAACGTTGACTCAGAAGATAAGTCTTTTATTTGTCATTCCATCTCTCTCTCCTCCTCCTCTCTCTCTCTCTCTCTCTCTCTATATATATATATATATATATATATATATATATATATATATATATATATATCCAAGTATAGGATTGGTGTAGACGGAATAAATTCCAATACATAAAAATACCATTCTTAAGAATGCTCAATACAGAATAGAGCAAATATTATTTATTCAAAAATTATAACATACACATGTTATAACATCAATATAAAAACAAAAATACAGCCATTTTGTTTCAACACTTCTGGAGTCTTATCAAGTGATGGTGTTGAATGACAACACCATTACTTGATAATTCTCCAGAAATGGCTATTTTTGTAGTGATATTATAACATTTTTGTGTTATAATTTTGAATAAATTACACACACACACACACACACATATATATATATATATATATATATATAATATATATATATATTTGGACAGCAGTCCCTCTTTTATGCATGTTTCATTAAAAACGACTGACAAGCTACTGCAATTAAGTTTTTTACAGAATTTTTCTTGTTTTCGCATAAGTGATTTCTGTTCTGGAAATAAAGTGTGTAAAAAATAGTCCGAATGTTCTGTATATCCAAGCGCTTTCGGTTATACTATTAGTTATTATCAAGAATGAATTTTATTTTTACTTTTAACTGAATATATGGATTGTATCATGTATGCCTTTAGAGTTATTGCTTATAACACACCTGCAAGATCCAAATTACAGAGAACCACAAAGAACAATTTTCTAGCACAACACAGTGACCGAATATTTTTAACAGCTGACCTAGCAATGGATTCGATATAGTCTTTCTATTTCATGTCAGCTGAGAACGTTCATCCAAGAAGGTGCAACGAGTCTCTTTCCTGGAGGTTAACATTAAGCATACTGATGGAAGGAACAGAGAGGGAATCTCTTATATGATTATTAGAGAGAAGTTGAGTTTTGGAGGTGTTAAAATTAACAAGCCATTTTCTTTTGTCCCAGTTAACAATGGGCTTGCTGCCATTTTGACTTTGTCGAATTGATCAGCCTTACTTGGTAAATAATGCTGGTATTTTGTTCAAGATCATTCTCATGCTATCTATGAATACATATATCACTAGCGGCCTACATGATTGGTACACTGACCTCGGAAGGGAAAACTGTAATATTGTTTCTATTAGCAGATTCATTTGGGATGTGACAGGAAATGTTTAAATAATGAAACTCTATTTCTTTATATCTATGTTTGCACACGCACAGAGAATAGTCAAGGAAGGCGGTAGAACACCCCTTGTCCTCTTGTCATACTCCTGATGAGGTTTGGAATGATTTGGTGTTTGAGTCTTCAACAGATCAAGACTTTATTGATCGATGCAATTCCTCTACCAGATCATGGAATTCAGTGGAGTGAGTGCTTGGAACACGGTTTTTGATAAATGAGAAAAAGAATTCTCTGTTGATGTGGTCTTATATTACTTACTTATACAACATAGCAGATATATACAACTTTCTATTCGATAACTACGCGATTCCTAGAATTCGTCTGATGACATATCGGTCATCATTACACTCCTTACTAAAACGAAAGCCAGTCGTTAAGAAGTTCATTTTCATAGAATTACCAGAGCCTCGTTTTTAAAATATTCATTAGCACATTCATCGTAATAGATCCAATTTAGATACCTCCGTACATGTGAGAAACTTCAGGAAAACCATTTTTGCTTCCACAGTGAATTAATACTTTGGAGATGTGCCTATTGATTGCAGATTTCCCCCATAAAACTGAGAAATTTATTTTGTAATTCGATGAATGGATATGCTACTTTCAAAACTTGAGTCTCAATATTCAGTGAAGCGTTATTATTTCCTCTTTTTATGACTTTCTAGATTTGCTCATCACTAGCTTCGTTGTTATTTAAGTTTGGAGACATAATTTTTAGTGTTCGGTTATATCTGGTGCATATTCTAATTCCTTTAACATCTACGGATTATTGTCATCAGAATTCTTTCTTTTTTAGATAAATTCCCCCCAAGTGAGGCGATGTTACCACTAAGATAAAAGGGGCTAATGGGAGTGAAAGAGAATAAGAAAGATTTTATAAGGAACTGGTAACCCAATGCTAAACGGGGACAAAGGAAAAAACCTCTGCTCATGTTCAAAAAACCTGGGTGGAATGGAATGTGAATCGGACGATAGGCAAATCTATCTACTCCTATTAAAGATAAATATTAAAAATGTAATTGAAAGTAGTTTTTGAGACCAGGACATTTCTTGTGTTTTGGTCAATGATTATGATATTACTGTGGATTTTTGGTTTTCTTCACATTTTAATACATAACCAATGCTGTTTTGCTTCACTGATTTGGATTCCTACTTTCAATAGATGTTGGTTTCTCAGAGCATTAACACAAATTTATATAGAACAATACTGTAGGAATTACTCGGGAAGAAATGGAAAAAAGAAAATCTCATTTATTTTTGAGAAGTATATGTATCAAATAAAACCGATACTCAGAAGTGAACAGGTCATGAAAAAGAAAGCCCCATTTTTCTAATGTGTTTACTTACCTCGATGGCAGTAATCGTAGCATAGCGAGAGGGCTCGGTATTTTTCGTTTAGGCTTGTCTGGTGGCACAAGATCGACGACTTTCATTATTGTTATCGTTAATTTCATCTTCTCAGAAATGTAGTTGATTTTCATCTGTAAACGCCCTACAATCACCCTTGTCGTATCTTTCTTGATTTCTAACTGGAAGAAAAAAAAATTATCAGTACTTAGTACATTACACGGTCTGTTATCATACATACATTATTTATCGTCCTCAGTATGGTACGATTCAAATATTTGTAATGATAAAAATGTTTACTTGATCTGACAAGAAGCAATTGACGCCATTCCATGTAAGAGCAAATGCTGCTATTTATTGAGGTGGAATAAAATTTCATAGCTTTATCAACGATGGTGTTTGAATAGATGATTTTGTTTCACATATGACTGAAATTTATGACGTCTATACATATTGACAGGCGATATCTCAATGAATCTTTCTATATGATTCATGTGTGGATTGTGAAGTTTTACTGTTTTCACGTTAAAAGCAAAAATGGAGGAAAATGAGAATCATTTACATCATTTGATACCCTTTTATTTCCAGAAAAGTAAAAACGTTGTACAAACAGTAAAAATGATATGTGCCGTTTATGGGGATGGTGCCATAGCTTAGAATATTATTCGTAAGGAATTAGCTATGTTCAGATATGGTAATTTTACTCTGGATGAGCGAGAACGTTCCGGCAGGCTTGCAGTCGTTAATGAACTTCAAATCGAAACACTGACTGAAAATAATCTAGACCACAAGACATGGAACATTGCAGAGTTACTCTACATATCTGATACCCACGTCGTAAGGTATTTGCAAACACTCGGATACGTGAATTGATTCGATGTTTGGGTATCTCAAAATTTCATGGTAAAGAATGTAATGGACTGCATTTCCAGATGACTTTCTGTTGAAATGCAACAAAAAACCCTCTTTTTAAAAAGCACGATCACAGGCGATGAAAAATGTATGTGGCGAGAAAAAGTCTTGAGGAAACGAAATGAGCCACTGTGAACCACTCCGAAGAAAGTGATGCTGTGTATCTGGCGTATTGATTACTACGAGTTCTTTCCACAAAATTAGACACTGAATTCAGACAAGTATTATCCCCATTTGGACCAGTTAAAGACAGCTACCGATGAAAGCTGCCTGCCATTGTCTAATCGGAATGTTGTCGTCATCTATCAGAAGAACTAGAAATCTCACGTCTCTTTGTAGATCCGGTGAGCGTGGCTGGTATATCCTACTGCACCTGCTGTAATCACCTAACCTTGAACTTTCGGGTTATTATTATTTTGATCCCTACAAAATTATCTTAATTATAAGATCTTCTGTTCTCTGGAATCCTGTAAAAAACCCACTTAGATTCTGAGAGGACGGAATCACGAAGTTTTGTCAAAGATAACGAAAGTTAGTGGAACAAAATGGCATAGATGTACTTGAATAAATCTATGTACAAACATCTAAATATTGTCTTAAAAATGCTACTGATTTTTGTTTCGACCCAATAGTTTGCCAAAGAACGAGAGATGTTTAAACAACAGTTTATTCTACATAGTTTAATAGGATGGGAACTGTTAAGTGGCTTTCCCACAGAATTTAAAAATGTTTAAACATGTTTAAAGGAACGATTTATTACTGCTGGGTCAACTTGTAAACAGTTAATTCAACCACCGATTCATGTAATAAATGCTCTTTTCATTATAATAAACCCGTAAGAAAGGCTATATTGTTTTTATACTCGGTTTTCATACGAAGATGATGACGTTGTGTGTCTGATGTGATTACGAGCTCCGTTTGCAAAATTTGTCCTTTGGAGTAATGGATAGCGGCTCGGATTGAGGAATCGGAGAGCCGAGTTCGAATTCCAATCGAACCCATACATTCACTTACGTGCTAATACCCTTGAGAAAGGTATGAATACTCTTCTTCTCCCCCCAGCTATGGGTAAATAGCAGGACTGACCGGGATAGCAACTGGTCTACCGCAGAAAGAAATGGCAATCTGCCTCGTCAGTCATGTATCGAAAGATACATGATCGCCTAAATGTGTATCACATAACTAAGTGACTATTCCTATTTGGACCAATTAAAGGCAGCTATCGATGAAAAGTGCCTCAATGATGGCGAAAGGTAGTGGAACAGAATTGAGGATGAATGTATGTATCTACAAATATCTAAATACTGCTTTTGAAATTCACTTATAAACGTTCCAGCCCAATATTTTGGAGGGGTGGAGGCGATTGTATCATTTGATCTGACGTTTTCCGATATGTAATGACAGAACAACAAAGAACTGTCTAACTAAATTATATGATAAGAATAAATGTATATAAATAAAGAAAAAAAGAAAAGATTCAAGGAAGAAGTAACATGTTTCCGGTAAAATACAATTTCCTAATCGTGCTTTTCTTTTAGAACAGGTATTTTCATTAAAGATATGCAGTCTAAGAAAAATAGGATGGCGGCCACTTTAAAATATTTAATAGTTTACTTTTTACGTCTTCAAAAATTGATTGAAACAAGAGATTTTATTAAAGAGTCAATAATTTGAATAATAAAAACGAATAAGTCACTTGTTTTCTAATCAGAAATGTACTTCTCGATTTGCTGAATGTTGACACACTTCTTAAATCTCGCTGCAACTCAATATATAGCATTAACAATTCTAGGGTTGCTTCAATATTTTCTTGGAACATTGACAGTCGACATACACTGTACATTGCTTAATATTCTTTCCGTCAATTCCATCTTTTGTTAATATACATATATATATATATATATATATATATATATATATATATACATGTGTGTGTGAGGGAGAGAGAGAGAAGGGGAGAAGAGTGCGTGTTTGTACTTATTTTCAAACTGTGCATCGTTCCGAATGCGATGCGCACAATAAGTTTCTTCACGAAAGAGTCAGCCATCAGACGCCATCAAAAGAAGCAAATATACACGCTTGTACACAGTTCGCATAGTGTGCAAGAATTTTATGGAAAAGATTCTGATCGTCGATTAATCAAGAATATTTCTAAGAAAAAAATATCTAGTTTCAAAAAAAATATCGGTTTTATTATAAGGCACTCTTTACATAAATGGCACCGAAAACCTCGAGATTGTAATTAAATGATTATAAAAGCAGCAAAGGAAAATGTATTTTAGCATTTGGGATTTTATCGTGAAAAAGAAATAGTTTTGTAGATATTTTTTCCGTATACTAGGGCCTCATAAATAAGAGGGTCCATAAACATTTCCTATATGACGGGTAGGTGAGGGACCGTATCCCACCTACTTTTTTCCGGTCATTATGATCAAGCAGCAAAAATATGTAATTGAAGCGTTTAATTTCCGAGGAAAAGATGAAAGTCTCCTAAGGAAATATAGCGATCACGTTGTTAGTCATTACAAGAATTACATTTTAAAACTGAATGACCAAAATGAAAATACAAAACGTCCCCCCCATTGTTCCCTCATTGTCGTTTCTTGAACGACTCGACGGGTCCTTCAAGTAAGTCTTGCGGAAATTTCAATAATACTTGTAATAATTTCTACAGAAATTTGTTAGCACTACTTCAAATCGAAATATAATTCAATCCTAAGCTAAAACAAAGGATTATTTGATTTAGCATTAACTCAAGTACTCGTAAAATCATTGATGCCAAGAGGTCAGTTTAGTACTTAATCCTGCGATGTTGCTGTTATCTTGTCTGCAATTTGAGCTTTAAAAGTATTTGAATTATACAGGCAAGAAAGAAATAAGTGAGTGAATCCATATAGAAAAAAAACTAGAAAATACCGGCAATGATGACTAGTATTTATATAATCACACTTCTTAATAGATTAACAAAAAACCTAACTGGGTAACTATGTACTGTCATCAACATTTAAACTCCACACCAAAGCGTCAAAGCATGTTTGAATAAGAATTCATTTTCCAGGTGAAACGAATATAATTGTTGTTATATTAAACCAGTGAATATTTTTCTGTAATTTTCCTTACAAAAATGTTTTTTAACAGAGCCAGTGTCTTTTTTTCTGTAATTTTCCTAACAAAATTCGACTTTGATGAAAAAGTCTACCGTTTTTTCAACTGAATTTTTAACTGTGTTTGATCAGTGTGATTGATATTCACCATTAAATTAAGCACATTGGCAATTCAAGAGATTATGTTGAAAAATATTTGTTGTGTAAATAAGTTCTTTTTTTATCGTTAGGCTATGGACTTATTGATTTAACTACATAGACAGCACAATTAAATTAATTCTAACCAGTAATCAGAACAAATAAAACCGAGGTGAATATTCCGATCTTGAAAAACAATTTTCTTGGTGAAAGAATTCCCATTAATAGAATGAATGCTATTTATTCCCTGTTCCTAGTAGCATTTGACTAGAAAAGAGTTGAGGCTATAACATTAAACATCGATTATTCAAAAGATGATAGATGACAATTCAAACAAACTTATTTATATATATATTACAATGGAGGGACTATTTTACTTATACTTTCTGCTTTTCTGAACATACGATTCTTACTATACAGGCGCAATAATTTTATAGGCAAAATATAGTTTATTTTATATTTTTAAAATTTGCTTCTTAACTTTTAGTGAAATTAAAAGTGATTTATATTAATATAAAACAAAGCATTACGAGAATAGACATTTCTTCATTACTAAAATGTTTAACAAACACCCGTCTTCTCTGGTGTGATCTACATTGATAAAGTTCATATCTTTATATTGATATATATATATATATATATATATATATATATATATATATATATATATATATATATATATATACACAGGGGGAAACAAATATTTGTAAACATACATATTTTTAAGTTATTGTTTTTTCCAAATAATAAATAAACATATTTTACATATAATTAACTGTACACAGATGCATAATAACTAAATATGCATAGAAAACAGAAAAACTTGATTTAAAAGAAATAAATCCCATTTATCCATTTTAATGGCTGAAAAAAATTCGTACAATACAAAAAAGAATACAATGTTTATTTAATACTTTGTAGAATAGCCATTATTCACTTCTATAGCAATCAACCTCTTCTTGTAGTTCTCAGTTAATGCTTAGCAAATTTTAGTTGATATTTTGTTCCATTCTTCGCATATGGTCTTCAAATCTGGGATGTTTGTTGGAGATATCGATTGGATTTGGCATTTCTGTATCTTTTCAATAGCAGTGGAGTTTTCCGAGGAGAGCCTGATTTTACTTTCTTACTATGAATTTCATTGCTTATTATCCGTTTGATGACACAGATTCCTGATAAAAGCAAATCATCCTGCAACTCTTGACGAGCAAACATTGAATTTTGTTTAATTTGACGCTTTAATTTCCTGGAAGATTTTGAAGAAATCTTCCATATAGCACCTGTTCTTCTTTGGTTTTGAACAGTTTTGAGTTTTTTATACCTTGCAATGAATGAACTAATGGTAGTAAATGGAATATTCAGGTTGTCTGAAATTTTCCTCTAACTTTTACCTTCTTCCCAGAGCTTAATCTTTTTGCGAATTTGTCAATACTTTACCTCTTGCCATGATGATAACCTTCTTGGATGAATATCAATTGCAGAATGTTCTGTTTGTATTTTTAGGTACTGATAACATTAATTGAACATTCTAGCATATTACACTTGAATATTAAAACAATTTAAAAGTTTTAAAGTCTGAAATTTGCATTGTAGGAATACTTTTTCACCTATTAAAATGGATAAATGGGATTTATTTCTATTAAATCGTTTTCTTATGTTTTCTATGCATATTTAGTTATTATGCATATGTGTACAGTTCATTATATGAAAATTATGTTTATTCATTAGTTGGAAATACAATAACTTAAAAATGTGTATCTGTACGAATATTTGTTTCCCTCCGCTGTACATAGTAGGTAACTAGTGACAAAATGTTAAAAAATAAGAGAAGAAATGCGTCTGTTACTTAAGTAGAACTTCTTCAATGGTTTTATTGGCGGTATTAGTCTTATATATATATTGGTGGTTGGGATGCGTGTGTATGGGCGTGGGGTAAATACAACAAACATTGTTATGATAAAACTATAACTAGTATGGGTTTAAAAATGGATGTTTTAAAAGTATATATTCACATAATAGATTCACATAATAGATTCACATAATATATACAAATAATAAAACAAGAGGTAAGTAGGGAAAAAAATAAAAATATATATTACTGAAAAATGGTAAACCGAAAATAAAAACAAAAATACATATAAGTTTTGAAAATATGTTTTATATGTTTTAAATATATTTTATATTTTTGATTTACTATTTTTCAGTGTGTAATATATTTTTGCCTTGCTTCTTTTTCCCCTTGTTTAAATATATTTACATATAATATGTAGCTACATACGTTTAAAAATATCTCTTTGTAAAGCCATACTAATATACTCCCAACAAATTATTTATTACTAGTTAGAAGAAGGAGCGAAAGACGTAACGCTCATTGATTGTTTCCTACGGCATACCAACCATTTTCAGGTTATTTAAAGCCTGAAAATATTTGTTAGACCGTAAGACGTTTTTTTGAAGATTATTAATGACGTAGTGATACAAGTCTTAATAATTAATCTATAGGTGGAGGAGAATAGGTGGATGCATACGTTTCCATGCGCGTAAGTGAACGTGATGAATCCAACTGGAATTGGAACTCGGCTCACCAATTAACAATTCCAAGCTATTATCCATTACACCACCCGCGCATCCAAGCTTACAGCACCTGGTATTCCCCCAATCGGTCACCCATCAGGCGTGACGTTGCTTAATTTCGGTGATCGTACGGGAACTGAGAAACGTTGGTGATTTGTTTCCCATTTTGTCATTCAATTGCCAAACTATATCATAACTTTCATATCGACATATACAAGGATGAGATATACTCGGATTCCACCTTCTAATACTTACATGAAATAGTCATTCGTTTGTGAAAGGTAAATTGGGATTGAAAGTCAGTGTGTGCACACTTCAGACAATAATAACTGCATACAACTATCTATTGGGTTGGTGTATAATTATTATGCGTTTGTGTAGGCGAGTTATTTGTTAATAAAAATAGCTGTTTTGTTTACTTTTTTTTAATAAAATATCATTTTATTTTCAGGTTATAAAAATGCGTGTCGATAATCATACACTCCGGAATAATCATTTAAAAATGTTATTGTTGAATTTTTATGTTTCTTTTTTAATAATAAATACTGTTTAAAAAACGCCTGATAATTATGCACCAACCCACTACACCTATTGATATACAGCGTGATGCGAAAGTAATGCAACATAGGGATAATTTATTAAAAGTGCAATTACACATGATCCTTTTATTTACTTGATATTTAGTTGTTAGTTATATGTGCTGCTCAAAATATTCTCCTTCTTTTTAACACACATTTCAATTCTGTATTTGCATGATTCATTAACGGAGAGTTTCCTCAGTCATTTACTCCATTCATATTTAATTCTTTCTTTAAAATCCTCAATATTTCTTGGGAGCGTCTGATAAACAACTGATTTCAAATGGCCCCACAGAAAAAAAAAAATCCAAGGGTGATCTCGGTCGACGTGCAACATGACCTCTTTGACCTATGCCCCTATGGTATACGACTATTACCTCACTTTGTATATTTTGGTATTTAGGGCATTACGTATGTACACGTACGTAAGTTTGCCTACACATGATCAAATTTTTACATACATGCAAAGACGTGTACATAGATTTGGTCAATATGCCCGTAGCCTATGATGAACGAAGAATTTATTTTAAATAAAAAATATTTCTTTTTTTAAACTCCCTTGTAACTGCACTTAATTCAGGGTTTAATATTATATATAGATCGAACATTACACAACATACATAGATTACTTTAAGGTAAAAATTCAGCTTACGTATCAAACAGCGGAGATCCAGTTTTACAAATGGTGAATGCAAAAACAAAACATTTACACGAAATTATTTTAATTCATTTTCAAGAAATTTTTATTATTTCCTTCGCATATTCTGTCTAATGCGAATAAAAAGTATATTTTGAAATATTTTAGATGGAGGATTTTCAATCGTCATGCTTGCTATTATGGTGCTTGGAAAAATGATTATTTGATTATTTTTTTATATAAAAGAAAGCCATACCGGAGTTTTGGGAAGAATTCTTCGCTTTCGTTTAATTCCCAAATTTTCGAATTCTTTATCTTTCGTCTCCGTTAATTCCACATCGGCAGAATCTGCAAGGAAAATTCCATGAAAAATTAACAAATTCTCCACAGGAACCAAACAAAAAAAAAAGTAACAAAACATATGATGGGAAAAAAGTGATGGCATATAGAAAAGAATAGAAAGAAAGAAAAAGAAAATCTTTTCCTTTGGGAAAGTAATCCACATCATGGCTCCCAATAGTGTGAGAAAAAAAAGAAAAAGAAAAGAAAAATGCTTTATGCTTTTAGTCTCCTACTGCAAGCCTTAAAAATACGAGTGCTTTTCATAACTGATCGATATATTATTCCACAAGCACACACGCCCCCAAGAACAATTTAATGTTCACGTCCTTTTATTTTTTTTTTTTACTGTGGCCAGATTTATTCATTTTATAGCTACCATAATTTTTCGCCTCAAATCCAATCTTGAATAGATGGATGACATGTGAGATGAGCACCATGTCTGAAGTTGAATTTAGGCTCTTATTGCTATTATATTACTCGAAAGAATACAATTGTTTTTCCTATAAGAAAATTATTTTTTCGAGATTTATCTATATATATGTATGCATGCCTGCCTATCTATCTATCTATCTATCTATCTATCTATCTATGGATCGATCGATTCAGCTAGCTTGCCAACGATACACCCACAAATATTTATGCAGATATATATGCTAAGATAAAGAACAAATAGGAAACATTTATCAATTTAACATTTTTCACTTTTATTAGAGTTTCGTCAGATAAGAGAAAAAAAAAAGAAATTATGGTATTTTTCCTTTTCTGTTGTTTGAATTTCATTGGTCAATCAGGTTTCACATTAATTCGACTCTTTAAACGAGCGTTAGTATAATTTGTGGCGTTCTGAATTCAAGTAGAAACGGCGGAGGTACATATATATATATATATATATATATATATATATATATATATATATATATATATATATATATATAGGTACCTTCAAAGATTCGCTAGAAAATAAGCATACATTATGAAAAAAAATGGCCCAAGCTGAATAAAAAAAAAAGCTTTATCGTCAAAATCTGTATGCTATTATTAAGAGAAATATTTTTTGATTAGCAAATTATATTTTTGATCATTTTTAAAATCTTCGAACTAAATTAGAAAAAAAACTATGTAACCCTTGCGTAGGAAGGAATCGTTCGATGATGCCGACTATGATCAACTCTATTTTTTTTTAATATATAGAAAAGGCGTCTACGTTATATTAATTTAGTAACTATTACAGTTATCTCTCTTTTAGAAAGAAATCTCAGACATAAATCTAACTTGAAAGTTGTCAACATCTCATAAAAACACCCACTTCCGTGTTAAAATACTTTTCTGTGATATTTCAAACTAAAAGTAAGTAATATTTGTTTAAAAACAAATTGATTAAACTTTAGATCATTTAATCTTCCTCAAATAAAGTTTCAGATAAGTATATATTATTTTTGAAAGATTTTTTTTATAATAAAGAGAATTACGTTGTGTTGACCGATTTGTCGATATGGACCATTTTAGCGTTGTTACTGATAATAAAATAACAACTCATTCCAGTCAAACAGCTCAGAGGGGATAAAACTGGTTGGTTACATGTAATACCTCGAAAACCAAACTAGTGCCGTTTCATTATCATTGAGTAGAGCCTGAATTTTTGTCTATCGCATGAAGCGATATTCTCTGAAGTCAAGTTCAACCCAAACCTCAAGTAGAATTCGTATATACGACTGATCGCTAAAGATTCTGGGGAAATGATCGGTTCCCTCTACTGTTGCAGTAAGTACCCGATTCCTCCTGATATCCTCTACTTTTGAAATGGACAGTAGCTGGCCAGTCTTCACTTTTCAATCTTGATATTCCAAGAGCGTCTGTACGGCCTTGTGGCTGATGAATTATGTGCCACATTATAACCCCTTTCCCACAGACGAAAGGATGAAACCCTCTATCGCTATCTCCATGGAAAATGCTCAGACGAACTTCATTCCTTTGTTCCCTCAGATTTAATTTTCACAGCTAAGACCCCCCCATGTCACGTACATTCTAGCGAATCACCCTCACTCCCTTCGTATTCCATTGGCGAGATGTAAGTTTCACTCGAACATCTTTTTTCCCATGAACCGCTACTTTATGGTAACGACTCCGAAGAGGATGCTTTTCTCCGTGACTACAATCCTAAGTTGTTCAAGTCTACGGTCAAACGTTACCATCCCTAAATATCCTTTTAAACTGTGTCCATATCTCTTGCCCTATAACCTGGAATGGCTCCTGGACCTTTGGACAAGTCGAACAGTACTGGGAAAAAAATTACAAAAAGTGAGTTCATTATGAATCTGTAGAGGACCGAACTGACTACTCAGTCGTAATTGCGAGTCAGCGTTGTTAACCATTACACCATGTCGAGGTGCCCAGATAGTGCTTTTCAAAGTTTAGCTTAGATGTGGCACAGGGCCGAAAGTGCGGAGCACCCAGTGATGACCGAACTGACTACTCAGTCGTAATTGCGAGTCAGTGTTGTTAACCATTACACCATGTCGAGGTGCCCAGATATTGTTTTTCAAATTTAGCTTAGATGTGGTACAAGGCCGAAAGTGCGGAGCTCTCAGTGAGGACCGAACTGACTACTCAGTGGTAATTTATCTTGCGAGACAAGATTGTTAACCATTACACCACGTCGAAGTGCCCTGATTTTAAGGAGAATATGTAATACAAAGAAAATATTGACCAGAAAGAGAGCAGCTGAAATTTTGGTTCACATTGCAAGGAAAGGCGGTTTAGAATATTTAACACATGCAGTGTGCATATTGAATGCAGGAAAAGCATTGAAAAAGGTTGAATAACCTACTTGACTTGTTTGAGTAAAAGAATGACAGAACAACGACCAAAAATAGAAAAGACGCGTGATAACGGAACGAGAATTCCTTATCGCGAAAAACAAACAAGGAAAACAGACAAAACGAAACAAAAAACAGGAAGCCTGCTATTATCGTCCTGAAAAAAAAATAGATAACATTGAGATATAAAGGTCTGAACTGGTAGAACTAAAGAATGGATCTGAACATTTGCCATAGAAATAGCGAATAATAAAAAAAACTAGAAATGTGGGTAGGACCAAAGAGATAACATTGAGGGACACATGCATTAAAATAATGAATTTGCAGGAGTCCCCAGATCAACCATTTATTTGTGGTTTTCAGATATGTTAAAAATACATATTACTTTTCTGACAATTTTAAAATCACTATAATTAATTTTTATATTGCTTTTTCTTCTATTGATTTTTATCATAAATCTCTAAGCTGATATCATCTTCGAGAGTGAATCCAAAATAGAGATATAATCAGCGGCGAGAATACGCATCCTTTAATTGGGAATATTTCATGAACATTGCTGACTCGTTCACAATTCAAAGCCAGATCGCTACTTCTGTTGAAGTGTTCATTGGGCAAAAAAGTTACGATAAAAAAGGAAGGTGAAAGAAATATTGTAATAACTAAAAAGCTACTGTCACGTTTCTATCAGTTGATCATTCTTCGAGTAGACTGTCTACGAAGATATTTCTGCCCACAGAATTGCCACTCACTGGAATTTATTTTATTTTTCTGACCCTCCTCTCTACATCCTAGAGATGGTGATGTGTGTGAAAATCCAAGTAGTTCGTCAGTTTTTGAAATATTTAAAGCCGCCTGTATGACACTAGCGACTATGCCACGTTCAAAATCACTTCAATTATCTTCCTTTCCCGTACTAATGTATGAAATGAAATTCATCTGGTCGCCATGACTATATTTAAATACCTATATCCATTAAATTGCTACCACGTCATTGGCTAATTAGAAATTTGGATAAAAGAGCATTTATTCATAGGTAATTAAACCTAACACACAAACACGCGCGTGCGCACACAGACACATTTACACACACACACAGACACGCATATACATACATACATACATACATACATACATACATACATACATATATATATATATATATATATATATATATATATATATGTGTAAGCAAATGTAAATGGATATAGATCCGACAGAATGAAGAAAATTTGGAAAAAACAAACAAAAATCCTTACATGCAATTATGTTGTTTAAAATGAATGAAATGTCGACGTCTGACGTTTCGGTTTAATAAACCTTCTTCAGGACAATATTCATTAAAATACAATTCAGTTCAATTTGACAAAGACGATGGACATAAAAACAAGTCTTATCCAAAACAGATAACTGAAAATTTTTAAAATGATCAGCTTTCCGTTTAGGAATACGTTTCGAAAGCGTCGCCCATGTGACGACAACGTGAACATGCTAAACGGAAAGCTGATCATATATGACCTGGTGCTCCCACTGTTCATCTCGAGGTCTTTGACAAAATCCAGATATGCAACGTGATTGGTCCTGATCTGGCATCCCGTCTACAGCCACTTTCTCACAGACGTGCTGAGGCATCCTTCTATCTTTTTTACAAGTATCTTTATGGCAAATGCTCCGACGATCTACTTTCACTGGTTCCCAAATTGCGTGAATTTAAGAATGCTACTAGGTTGGCATTTCGGTCTCACTCTTTTACTGACGAAATAGTTAAATGTAGACATCTCTTCTACTTCAACGACTTGCAACTCGCGTCAGCGGAACTCCCTTCCTATCACTTACTTCCCTGATAACTATAATCTTCAAATATTCAAATGTAATGTCAATCGACATCTTCTGATGTCTTGACCTTGATCCCTGTACTTCTCTTTATCCTTTTCCCCAAACCCCCCTCTTTACTCTTACTCTCACTCTCTGTAACTCCTTGCCTTGCTTGGAGTGATTTGCTTTTGCAAATATACAGTTGAGCTGGCTAAATGTAGCCATAAGTTCTATGTTAACAGTTTTTTCTCATACTTCTCGTTTGTGGAAATCCCTTCCGGTTCCATGCTTTCTAGCCAACTTTAATCTGCAAAAAAATTAAATGCAATCTCAATCGCTATCTGCTCTCCTCTTGATTACTCTTTTCTCTTCCTGCTC